GTCCAAAACCAAAGGCCTTACTCTCATGCTGAGGGCAAGACAGGTAGGTAGCAAAGCTGCAGTGATGAGCTGTGGAAGAAGAGGCAGTCTTGTGACTCACGAGCAGTTTTCCCTGTGAATGGAAAATGGAAACAGAACAGTGAAGTCTTCTGGGATGTAGTTCTTCTCTTCTGAGAAAGGTACCCGAAAATATCATCAATCCACAGAACTGGAGCATTAACTCTTTAACTCCCAGTGCAGTGTATGATGTTATGGTGTGTAACACCAGTAACAAAAATAATAAAACCATGACAATCTTCTGCCTTGCTATTTGCCTCTGGCTGTTGGGTAGAATATTCCTCATGATGGATGCAGGCTTGGTTGAACAACTGCTCCTGAAGAGCACCTACTGTGTAGCTCACTGCCCGAGTGCCAGCTCTTGCTTGTTATCTGTTTTTACAAGAGTCTGAGATGGTAGTGAAGTGGCTGGAGGCCACAATGTGTGAGGAGCAGCTGAGAGCTCTGGGTCTGTTCAGTCCAGAGCAGAGGAGCTGAGGGGAGGCCTGATGGCGGCTGCAGCTCCTCACAGGGAGCGGAGGGCAGCGCTGAGCTCTGTTGTGTTTGACAGTGACAGGGCCCCAGGGAACAGCATGGGGAGCTAGCTGTGTCAGGAGAGAAGCAGGGAGGATGTTAGGGAAAAATTCTTCACCAGAGGGCAGTTGGTTTGGAGCAGGCTCCCCAGGGCAGTGGGCATGACTGTGCTGGAGTTCAAAGGGTGTTTGGACAGTGCTCTCAGACATAGGGTTTGAATTTGGGGTGGACTTGTGTGGATCCAGGAGTTGGAGTCGATGATTCTTGTGAGTTCCTTCCAGCTCGGAGTATTCTTTCATTCTGTGATCTAACATAGAGCGTGCTAAGGATGTTTTCAGACCATAAGGAGCTGGGAGTGGCTGCAAGTGTGGTGGAGAATGAGAAAGTGAGAGCCTCTGGAACAACGCAGCCTGTGTCATTAGGTCAGCAGGATAGTAGTATACAGTGGTTCATAGATTGAAATAGTATTTTACTGTTGGGAAGAAAACAAAAGCACTAAGGTTTGGAAGTCACATGAAGCAGCCTCTGCTCTTCTCAGTGCTGGCAGTTCACCACCAGTGCTCCTTATTAGGCTGTGAGCTAAACTGATTTGGGAACCAAATATGAGGGAATTTAGGGAGCATCAGTGGTCTAGAAAATGATTTCAAATAAAAGACTGAAAAAATTAGAATTGGTTAGGCAGAAAATTATACGCTTAAGTTGCAAAGTAGATAGTCTCTTTTCTCTAAAGTCACAAGAAAATAAAATTTGGTCACCGAGAAACTTTTTCCCATGCTAGAAGCAGAGGAATGCTGAATTGGAGAAGACAGGCTTAACAGAAATCTTTCTACTGTGGGTAAATGTCTTTCTTTGGTGGTAAAGGAAAGATTTAGGTGGTGACTTTAGGTCGTGTTATGTATTGTTTCTAACTTAATCCCATCACATCTATTACTATCACTTGCATGTTTGAAAACAATGCCTTCAGGTAAGTGAAGATGTTTTATAATTCTGACCAGAGAGGAGTCTAAAAGTGGTTTTATTCTTTTTGATAACATCACTGCTGCTTAAGAAAATTGTGATATTCATCTACCTACAGGTGAGAGCCCAGTGTACGAGTTCGTCTGAGTGAAGTCCATCCAGCTCAGAACTAGCTGTTGAGAAAGGGCTGTTGTCACAGATGTAGAATATTAGTGCATCGGGCATGTTTTTCCTGCTAGTGCAGTTTGGAGATGTCTTGAGGTAGATGTTCTGTATGTAAGATTTGTTTTATGAATTTTTGTAATAATTTTTGAACTTGTTTGTTTCAAAATATCTTTAGGCATTAAATTCATTCAATTATTCACTTAGTGAAGAAGTACTTAAGAGCAGCTTTTTAAAGTTTCATTTGATGTTCCCACATTCTTGTGGGAAGCAATTCAGACATCTGATATATCATGCCACTTTTTGCTATCACTTTTTTTTGTACTTTGATCTGACATATTGTGGTTATCTGTTTTGCAAGCTAAAAAATTCTCTTTACTTTCTTTGTGCAGAAGCTGTTCCATACTCTGATCAATATTGCCTATGCTTCATGTTCTTCATGAGACAGAATAGAGAGAGAGAGGAACACCGTTCTTACCAGCAATCTAAGAATATATTCTCTGATGTTCTCTCTTCCCTTCATATCAGAGAATATATTCTCCAATATACTGGATATTTCCAAACCTGACCACTTCAAAGCGCTGAACAAATGTTTTTGAAGTTATATGCTCAGAGACAACCAGAGTATTCTCTTGTGTGATGTTAAGCAACCTAGAATGCTACACAGCATTTACTGATATGTTTCTTCACCTGCTGTTTTACATGCCTGTTTCTCGATATTCTGGAGTTTGTCTGCAGGAGTTTGTTATGAAGCATCAGTTTTGATTACTTTTATTTGTGCTATTTACAAGCTTAAGCACAGATATTATATGAAATAGTAGATATTTAGGTGACCAATCCAAATAGATGAACATGGCCTAGCACAGATTCTGATGATGCTTCTGCCTCCCTCCCCTGAGGAACTCAATTCCTTATTCCTGCTTACAAGGGCTTCCCTTCTGTAACAACTTCCTAGTAGATAATGCAGCTGAAACTTTTCTGATGTGTTTTCTTTGCTACCAAAATTTTTTTGATTCTCTTGTGTAGCGGTTAGTTTGCTCCTGTCATTTAGACGAGTATTGGAAAGGTTTTATGCTACCAGTTTCAAATTCTACAAATGACCTCCATGTAGATGAAAACAAGCACATAGACATGAAATCAGTAGTAACCAGAATTACAAAAAGAAAAAAAAAAAAAAAGTAGTAATTTTTGTAGTATTTTTGTAGTAATAGGCAAAAAACCTCCTTTCTGATATGCTGAATAATATCGTGTTTAAAAAAAGATGTGAATTTTACCTCTGTGCAGAGAATGGAAAATGTAGCTTTTCTCTGTTTCAGTAGCTGTGGTCTGTTGTTTTATTTTTGGAAACAATTATTTTAGCATATGTGGTTTTGTTTTTTTTTTTTGACAACTGCCTTCATTCAGATGTTGATAGTAGTATGCATTTTACTTCATGTTCTATCTGAAGCAAGAAAAAGGCAAGAAAAGTTTTTCTGTCCAGTGGAATGCTGTCATTTCTAATTGGTTTATATTTGTGATGGGAGGATAGAAGCCAAATTTATGAGAGCTGTTTTGAAGGTAATGATGTTGGCCCATGGTGTCAGAGGTGATATCACTAAGTAGAGGTTGAACCTTCCCACCAATATTCTGGTATTTTTTTTTTTACCATATGACAGATGGTAGCAGAGGGGCAGTCTGATGAAATGGACACAGAAGTGAGTATGAAACAAAGTTGTGTCACTGAATTTGTCCATGCAGAAAATATGGCACCTATTGACATTCATCATCAACACTTGCTGAATGTTTAAGGAGATCAAATAATGGATGTGAGCACAGTGAGGTGGTGGGTGGTGCATTTCAGCAGTGACCAGACTCCTCTCTTTCAGACTTTCATAAGCATGACATGCAGGTTCTTGTTCATTGCTGGTGAATGTGCCCAGCTCATGGTGGCTACTTTGTTGAAAATCAATGCTTTGTAGCTGAGAATTTGCTCTATCAAAAAGTGTTCTTGTGTTCTTTGTATTCGTTGTAGTTTCAGTGGAAATAAGTGGGAGGCAGTACTTTTGGAACAGCTTATGTATTCTAATGTTTTGCTCTTGATGTTTTGTTCTTGGTAATTGCTGGTGGAGACTTTCTTTTATGTTCTTAAATCTTGTGCTTTGCAACTTATTGCAAGTATTCGCTTCTTCTATTAAAGATGGTGAATACTGCAGTGACTCTCATCAAGTGCATTTCTTCCTCCTTTCAAACAAGTGCCCATGACTGTTGTTTTCCTTGCAGTGATTGAATGTAAGCATTACTTACAGTCTTTCCTATTTTTGGTCATGGAGAATGAAAGTTTTGTATTTATGTTAGGCAGCACTGTTTCTAGAATGTCACTAAGTAACGAGAAAGGAATACTAAATAATATCTGCTTGAATGATATTTGTTCACATTCTGTCCTTTTGTAAGATTTAAAACATGTGTTCTATTATTAATGCTTTGTTTTAAACTTAAAAAATAATATACAAAAGATTCCTGATTTAATTTTAAAAAGATATGTTATGAGATTGTGTGCAAATGCTTAGGGTGAGTCGAAATGTACAGAACAGCTTGCACTTGTAGCTCCATGCGAACCATCTTTCTTATTACTTTTATTTTATATACTTATTTAATATAAAACTTCAAAGATTCAGCCTTATATTGCTGTTTGCTTCACCAAGATTGCAGTTCAGAGTTGCAGCTTTAAATTTGATTGCTGTAGTGTTTTTAACTGTTTGTCTTTTTTGTCTTTTTACTATTCTGGATATTACAGTAGCTAGGGCCACAGAAGAAATTTTTGTGTTTGTTTGATCCCTTTCTCATGTTGCTGTTTGTTTTATTACAATCTAGTGAAAATGTTGCTATAAAGTTTTTCTTGCAAATTTTGTCAGGGAAGTTTTAGTTTCCTGTGCTTTCATTTTTCTTATGGATGTTTTTTTTCTCCTGTTCTTATCAAGAGTAAAGTGCAGCAATAAATTAATTTGTCTAATTTTCCAGCCTTAGTACACTGTTTCAATAGAAGAGTTTTTCCAGAAAGAAAAGTAAACAATTAAATATGCTTTAGTTACTTGAGTGTAGAAAAAACACTTCGTCTCTCAAAAATGGTATAAAGTGATAGCACATGACTACTTACAGTCATTTGAGAAGTCTTCTGAAATTTTTGTTTTCCTCAACTATATATTTTTTGTTTTTTAAATATTTTCTGTGATTAGAAACTGAAAATGGAAAGCAGTGTATCTCGTTCTAATTTTGCAATGTATTTTAAAAATGCTGAAATAAAATCCAAACTATATTATCTCTTTTTCTTTCAGAGAGCTCCTAGAAAGTGAAAGTATATTTCTGAAAATCAGAGGAAGTAGCAGCTGATGTAAAGAGAAGTATACTAAGGATCATTACTCGGGGATATTTTTTAAGGTACGTGCTCTGTATTTTGCAGAAAAGTAATCCTAAAAATAAGCTGCTTGTTTTGCCATGGGTAGAGTAATATTTCATACTTATTTTGAAATGGTTAGGCTGGGTTTATGTTGCTCCTTTGGATGTTTATTGGTGGCAGTAGCTCTGTGGAAGCATTAGTTCATCTCGACTGTGTTTGTACACTTAGCATCAAATGTGTGTGTGAATAATGTTCTGTGTATGTGGTTAGCATAAAGAAATGGTAGTTAAAACATATGTTTTTTGTTTCATGATGTAAATTCTGGGAGCAGTTCCTATACTAGGAGAAATTCAATAGTCTAATTTTTATTTAGTATGTAAATGGAAGGCTATGGATGATTTGCTTCCTTGTTTTAATGTAGAATAACTAGAATAAGCCTCACAGGTGGACTGTGTAACAAGCTGATCACTTTTTATAAAATAGTTTTAAAATTTTTGTAGAATCCTTGAATTTGAGTATTTATTTCTCCCGAATTCATGTCCTTCTCTGTTTTCTTTTTTTTTTGCATTACTGTTAACATTTCTAGAAAGGGACTTCAAAACATAAACAATCAAATATGCTTTAGTTAGTTGTGTGTAGAAAAAATACTTCATCTCTCAAAACTGGCATAAAGTGATAGCACATGACTACTTGTCATGTAGTGACAGTGATTTGGAATCTATGTTTAGGAGTACGGGAGTTCTTAGCAGATCAAGAATGAGAGTGATGCTCTAAGCATACTGGGGATGCAGGTGAGTGCTATGCTTCCTTCTGAATATAACCAGGGGCATGGCAAGCTTCTGTTTTGTGGTTTATTGCTTGCCTGCCTTGGCCTGGACAATTCATCACTCACATTACAGAACCACAGGTGGATCCATCGTTATTTTTAAGATTAGCAGTCACATTTTTAGATATATTTCATAGCAGTGTGTTAGAGAAGACACAAGCTGTTAAGGTTAGGAGAGCATACTGGGGAAGTATTGCTGTGTATGTGCTGTTCTTCTCTGCTTGTTTGCTTTTGATCATTGTTAGGCAGCCAGTACCTTTGATCTGACACTCTGTGGACACTCTCATGTGCCGGGGGATAGGCTGCAATCTTTTAAGTGCAGATTGTTTGTGAAAACTATTTTCTTCAGTAGCTGAAATCCAGAAAGACTAATAACACTAGAATATTGGCTTTATTTGTTGAAAGGAGTGTTACAGGATAGAAGAATTAACTGACTGTCTTTTAAGCTTTTTTCTTAATACTAAGAAATTTTAACATTATTTCTTTAGAATCATAGAATGATTTGGGGTGGAAGAGATCTTAATGCTTTCTAGTTCCAGCTGCCTTGCTGTGGACCACCAGATCAGACTACCCATTCCACCTAGCCTTAAGCACCTCAAGGGATGGGGTATCTACTTCTCCAGGCAAACTGTTCCAGTGCTTCACCACCCTCTGAGTGAAAAATTTCCTTCTAACATCTAACCTAAATTTCCTGTCATTTAGTATAAAACCATTCTCCCTGTTCTGTGACCAGCATACTCTGGAGCCCTTCTCTTCTCCAGGCTGAACAAACCCAGCTTCCTCCACCTTTCTTCATAGGAGGTTTGTTCCAGCCCTCTAGTCATTCTCATGGCTCTCCTCTGAACACTCGTCAGCAGATCTGTGTCTTTCTTGTGCTGTGGGCCTCAGGCCTGAGACCTCTGCCCTCATGAGGGCAGAGTAGATGGGGACAATCCTTCACTATTCTGGCCACCCCTCTTTTGATGCAGCTCAGGATACTACTAGCCTTCCAGGCTGCAAGTGCACACTGCTGGCTCATGTCCAGCTTTTCATCTATGAGGACCCACAAGTCCTTTTTGGCAGAGCTGCTCTCTGCAGACTGCTTCTCCCAGTCTGTCCACATCTGGAACTGTCCCATTCTAAGTGTAGCATCTTGCACTTAACATTGTTGAACCTCATTAGGTTTATGTAGGTCCTCTTCCCAAACTTGTCCAGGTCCCTCTGGATGGCATCTCTTCCTTCTGTTACATAAACTGCATTGCTGAGCTTGGTGTACTGTCTGTATCAGAAGACACTGAAGAGTACATGTAATTGATAAAGATACTGAAGAGCACGTTGCTGTGGTAGTGGCTGAGCTAAACCACACAGTATCTTCACTAACTATCTAAATATGGAACTGTTCGAGAATGGTTGCTCATTTGCAGTGCATTGTTGAATGTACTTGAAGAGCTTACTACTTTTCAATGATTAGCTTGTTATTTTGTGAGTGATTGTAAAAAAGCAAATTACTTATTTTTTTTGTATTGGCTCTGCAACATATTTTAACTGTTGAAACTTAGCAAATATTGACTGACCAGTTTGTATATCCACTGGTTTTATAGGTGTGTATATCTCAAAATAAAAACTAAATTAACTGAGGCTCAACTGTCCTTTTTGATACCACTTTTATGAAACATGCTAAAATTCACTGTAAGACATCTTTGGCATGTGAAATGCAAGATAAATTGTGTGGGTATCTACCAAAGATAGAGGAAAGATACAGGTTTTTTTTGTTTGTTTTCTATTTTTTTTTGTATGAATTCGTCATATTGTGTTTCCATCTAGATACTTCAAAGCATGGTGCCATCTTAATTTTCTTTCCCTTTAAGAGTAACTATACTTCAATGTCTTTTTGAGGGATTTTTTTCGTAATATCCTTAATGTTACCTCCCATTGTTTCCACAGTTAATTGTTCCTTTATTTACACACTGCGTTGCACAGCTCAATTTTGCCACTAGTAATAGTGATCATGGGGAAGTATGAGAAGTCGACCAGAGACAGCAGTCAGGCTTGTCCTCAAACTGCATCTCCCACTGATGTGGTTGGAACAGAGCACCAGTTTGATGTGTTATTGGTCTGACCCTGAAAGGCAGCTATCAATTTATCTGTCCATGCTAAACAGGGAAATATCATACCTGGAAAAATACCTGTCTGCATTAGTGCCAGTTGAAGTCTTTCCAGTTAACACTGGACCTTTGAAATAGCTTTGCACTTTTAAAAAGTATTTTAAGTACAGATTACATAGAAAATGTTTACTAAATCCTACAATTTTGACTTCAGATAAACAACTGTATAATCTACTGGTTTCATTTGTTTCCCATATAGAATGGAAAGTGTTGGGTTTAGTTTCCAAACCATTAAGTAGCTTGGATCTTGGAGATGTGTTATGTTAACTGTTTTTTTTTGCATCCATAATCCATAATCAGGCACATAAAATGCACCTGATATTAGCTGAATTTTTTGATTCAACATTTTCACATTTTATGAGGGTGCACAGAGGCTGTGCTGAGAATCATCAGCAATAAAATTTTATCCTTCATAGTCGTACCAAATCAGAGTTTTATCACTTTTGTAAAACAAATTTTTCCTTTGCTACTTCTGTCATAGTGTGTGGAATAATTGAAAACAAAGATTGCTGTCTAGTATGTTCTTGTAAAGTCTAGTACAGTTCTTGTCTGTGTACTCAGGCATCTACTGCGGTAACCAAGTTTCTATTAGTTAGTAAAGAGAGATTAGCAAGATGCAGTTAGTTGTTATTGGATTTCTGTCCTATTGATTTTTGTGATCTTCTTGCTCCAAACTAAGTCAGTAGAAGAAGAGTGAAATATCATGCTGAAAATGTTTCGTGCCTCTCTTGCCCTTCTGCGTCTTACAGTGCAAGGCCAGACTTCTTCTGGAGATTCAGTTCCAATCTTTCCTGAATCTCAGATGTAAGAAAACAGGCTTACAGCTTCTCTTGTTGCTGATGTGCTTGGCAGCTTAGTGAATGTACTAAAATGTGCTAAGAGAAAAAAGTTATTGGACACAGAAGTAGATGTAGATTTAGGTAGTGTTGAAAAACTGTGCAAGTCATGCTAGGAGGTACATGCTCTAAGACTGTTTCTTTTATGTGTCATACTAAAATATTATCTTTGTAAGATGCTTCTTTAACTGTGAAAATGATTTAATTAGTACAACTAGTAAAACATAGTTCATCCTTTTTAAATAGAGCAAGTATAAATTATTCATAGTTGCTGCTTATGATTGGGCTCTTACCATTCAGGAAGAATTTTGAATATGATGTGTGGCTGCAAAGTTAAGAACAAGAGGAAGCTTGTGGCAGCTTTAGGGTTACTCATATAACCTTGATGTCCTTCTGTTGTGTACATGCATAATAACCCGGTGTTGCTTGTATTTTCTTTATGGGAGCTTTTGTTTCTTTCATCAAATCGCATGGCTTCTGAATAGGTGCGTAATAGATTTATCAGTAGAGGATGGTGATGTTTAAAAACTACTACAAATGTGTATTTTTGACCTGCAGCACTTCTTATGAGATTATTGAATGATGTTTGTATTGTGCAACGAGACTGGATTGCTTTGGGAGAAAACTGTGAAATTAAGGACACTGCCCTAGTGTGTTCATCATGAGAACAGAGGAAGGTGGCATAGGAACCTGTCCAGGGGTATCTTTTTTACTTTTGGCAGGTTGACTCTCACTGTTAACACAGTGTTTAGGAACAAACTGTCTAGTGATTTTCTAATTATCCATTTACTGGAGATGCTACACCTGAGAACTGATGGTTTATTTGGAATTTTCTGTGTTCTTTGGATAATATCCGTAACAGCCAAATGTTTCGGGTCGCTAGCAGTGAAACAGTATAATGGCAGTTCTTATCATGTGCATAAGTGTGTGTTTCTTTGCTTAAATAAATCGGTTTGGTCTTCAGTATCTCATAGGTACTTGTATGTGTTTCCTCAAAACTCGACCTTCAGTTAGGGAAGCACTGTTATACAACTGTGTTTTGAAGAAGGGAAACTGAAGGACACAAACTGATATTAATTAATCTGGCAGTTGAAAATAACAGGGCATGAGGTCTCCTTCAGTCATAGCTTGGTGTTTGGTTCTCTGACATTTCTCTTGGTTTGCTTTAAGGCGACTTAATGTTGTGGTTAAGCCATTTCAGTTTTAAGTGTTAGCAGATGCTCTTTGTAACTGTAAAGCTTTTTTTGTTTTGTTCCTCATGATTTTTGTTTTGCTTTCAGATGTGTTGAGGAGCCTCTGTTTTCACCTGTACAGTTTATAGTGCCTTAAAAATGGGGTTTGGAAGTGACTTGAAGTATTCTCATGATGCTTTATTAAAACTGCAAGACTGGGAACTACGACTGCTCGAAACGGTCAAGAAATTTATGGCCATGCGTGTAAAAAGTGATAAAGAGTATGCCTCCACTTTACAGAATCTTTGTAATCAGGTAGATAAAGAAAGCACTTGTCAATTGGATTATATCAGCAACGTATCCAAGGTAAGACTGAGGAATTATGAATTTGGAATATCCTTAGAATTAAATGTTTGATTTTTATGTTTGTTTTGTTTGAGTTGGATTCTTCATGATTCATCTTCTTGGGAGTTAATGTTTCTGAAGTGTTTAACTCCTTTTAGTTCTTTGCTGGATTGGGGAGCAGTTGAATTCCAGTCTTGCTTTGAATTTAGTAAGTAAACTGGAATCCTAAATTCTGAAATTTTGATATTTTATGTCTCCATGCTTCGCCTCCTACTTTGTTTTGAAAACAGAATATGTTGCAGTGAGCTTTTAAGACAGTTAAATATAAACTATTGTTTATGTTGTATAGAATTTGTGACAGAAATAGAAAAATGCCAGGAAACTTAAGGCAAAGCATAGCATACCAACTGTTATTCACACCACAGTGTGTGATGTTAAAACAAAACATTAATTCAGGATGTTCCTTGCATTTGTGAAGTTATTTTCCATCAAATTTACAATAACTTTGTTGACCTTTTTATAAAGGTAAGGCTATGCTTTCCCCAGGTTATTGTCAGACTTGGAGTAAGTACAGCGAAGGTATAGATGAAGGAAACTTCCCTGTTCCACCTGCTAGTAATCTTTCCTCTTGACTTGGATTCCTTTCTGACTACAGAAAACAATTCTGTTTTATGGCTTATTCAATTTTTGATCCTTCTGCTGCTGCAGTGCTTACACAGTTCCTTCAGTCTGGCATGAGTCCTGATCTCTGCAGGAAAAGACTGGTTTGGGGACAAGTTAAATTCTACACAAAGCAGTTTTTATGCAGTGAGCTTATGAAATTGCTGCTTGAGATCAAGTTATGGCATTGCAGCAGGAACATTAGTGCTCTGTTTGCAGCCATCTCGAACAGTACTAGTGAAAGTAAAGTGACTGTGTGGCTTGAAAGCTGCACTGAAGTAGCTAGCTTGCTTCAGCTGCCCTGAAATAGCACTGGGTAGTGTTTATCTGTAATGAATTCTGTTGTTGCCTGCCCCACCCAATATTTCTTGTCTTGCAAGCTGCTGCGCTTGTTTTTTTTGTGTTTGGTTTTTTTTTTTTTCATCTATGTGTTTTGGTGATGTGTTTGAAAAGCTGTTCACATAGTTACGTATCTTACCCACAGTTGTGATGATTTTGGTAAATTTGCATAAAGCATTTTTGTTCACTGATGTATGGCAAAATCGCGTATTTTTTTTCAAGCTTTCTGCTGTCAGATCCCAGAGTTTTTACAGAATTACAACAATACCATTAATAGTTCTTGCTGTTGCTGCCCCATTGGAATTGTTCTTTTGTGGTGGCAAAAATGCCTTGCACAAAACAGAGTGGATTCTGGCTAAAATGATGAAGGAGCACTGGCACCAAAATGCTGAGCATTGCAAGCCTTCAGGTTCACCTTCAGGTGATTAGCTCTCTGCTCAGTGGAGTCACTCTATAGTGACTTGTGTTTTGTTTTGTTTTGTTTTTTCCAGTGAACACATAAGTTGTAAGAAGCTGAATATGTGCAACCATTTTCTGTTCAGGTTAAACAGAAGCATTTGTTTCACTTTTTAAGTGCTGTTTTGGATGTTGCTACTCAGGTTAATCTTTCAGTTATTTTTGTTACTTTTATTTCATTTTTCCATCAAGGAATTGCTGTTTTCCTCTTAAGCCCCTGATCTCTGATCTTTCACATAACTACAGAAATATTCACTTAATACTGATAGATCATTTGCATAGGCTTGCCTTGAAGTTACACTGTCAGCTTGGATTTTATGCTAGCAGAGTGATATATTGTCATATTGATTTTAGTAGGTAAAATATCTAAGTTATCGTTTATTTACTTGAACTGTTTTAATATATATTGCTATTTAATTATACTTTTTGTCTCTTTCTGACATTTTACAGAATTGAAATCTGACACAATTTTTGTGGGATGTAAATTAGTATCTTATATCTCCTGAATTAAAATACTATCTCTGCATATTTATATACGTTGTTTTGTGTGCACACATGTCTAAAAATATTGCAAACAATTTTATATTTTACTGCTTTTGCTGGATTGTGAGTTTTTATAGGAAAGGAAGTGCTTTGCCTTTTCTGATGACCCCACCCAGCTGCTTTTTTGTCCCACATAAATTTTAATTTTTGTAGTTTTTCTTCTGTTATAACCTTTCACCTTACCTTCTGCTATTTAAAAACAATAAAATTATACAGAACACAGAAATTTTGTTCAACCAGTGCTTTCTCATGTGAAAAAAAGGAATATGAGGAAAGGGAAAATGTGCAAATTATTTTATTTATTTTTTAAATTGACCAGTTTTCCCTTGGTGTCAGTCTTGGGTTCATTTTTAAATAGAAGGACAGGTTTTTGCTAGGTTCCAGACTTAATTGGGCTTGTTTGGTGAATTGTAGGCTATTTCCTTAGAATTGATTGAAGCTGTGTTTTTCAGTCTGGCAATAAATCACTGTTAGGAACACACTGCTTTTATTACTTTTTCACCTCTGAGAGTGCTCTGATGAGCTTTTCTGTAACCGCTCTTCTCATATGTATTTTTGTGGTGTTTTTATCGTACGCAGCTTTGTGACATGGCTTCTGAAGTCATTTGGAAAGTTCTCTGTAAATGGAGAGAGAAACACTTTTCAGATGTAACCAGTAATCTTCAGTCTCTGAGCTTATTATATAACACCATGCTTAAAGCAGTTATGCCAGTAGTTGCTAGAATGCTTATCAGCTAAAGGAAATATTATAGATGGTTTAGTGCATACAGGAATTAATGTCTTTCATTTTGTTCTCTAAATTACAGTCTGGCTAGCAGCGCTGTTGTGTATATGTATGTATGCATGTGTATGTATGTACATGCTCATATACATATATACATATTTATATATGATAAAAAAAAAAAGACTAGATCTGCCAAACAAATGAACTTTGTAAGTTTTCATGATTTAAGGAGGATTTCTACCTTTAAAAATATTAAGACAGATGCAGTTAAAGCTAGTGTGCTAGCTGCATTCAGTAACTGGTAATTGTATTGGAAACAGCCACGCTGAAATGTTAACTGCAGTACAGCAGTCTGTGTTATTGAATTATATGTAATGAATCCAATGCTGTTCCTATCAACAAAGTGTAAAGGGCAAGGATTTTTAAGGGTAACAAATACTTCCATCTGAACTGAACTCTAATTCTTGACTTTACTTCTGCAGTGCATCAAAAACCTCTCTGCTCAGCGCTCAATTTTTCTCAAAAGCCATGATATGTTAAGCAATCCTGAAAACAGACTGATGGGATGGCTAAAGAAGTTATTAAAGTAATGTTGCAGAGAGCCGCTTGGTTGCCGTGACAGGGAACTTCTAAGCTGTTAGCAACATTACATTGTGCTGCTGCTGGTGGCTCTTGTGCTGTCAATTATGTGAAGCAGCTGGCAAATGGTGTCCTTTTGAACAGTAATAATTCAAATGCATATCACTGTGAGATATTTAGACCAGGACAAAGAAGTCGTTTATTGATCAGAGTAAATGATCAGGTGGTGGGAAAGCAAAGAGCACAGGGATGTGCTTGTCAGATGTGTTGAAGATGTGATCTGAAAAAAGCTGTAGAGCTTTCATGAGTGTTCAGAAGTGCAAAGAGTACTCTGCAGAGTGACTGTGTGATGCTGCGTTTTTGTCCCTGGTGCTTTTTTTATGAGTTTATGACTAAGTTCACTGCGTGATTTTGGATTTTGTCACAGGAGAATGAATTTTTGTGGAAGATCTCAAGTGAATTTGGGAAGTTCATTTTTTAATTTTTTTTTTTTTAATTATTATTATTTTTTACTGAATGTATATTTTACCACAGTCCATTTTCATTGTTTGGTTATTTGTAAGCCAGAATAAGTGACTCTTCTCTCCTGATTTTATTTTATTTTTTACAGTCTTGGTTGCTTGTAGTACAACAAACAGAACAGCTGAGCAAAATAATGAAGACACATGCAGAAGATCTCAATTCTGGGCCTTTACATAGGCTTACAATGATGATCAAGGATAAGCAGCAAGTGAAGAAGAGTTACATAGGGGTTCATCAACAGATTGAAGCAGAGATGTACAAGGTATTTTATTCAGATGCTCTTCATAGATTTACTGAAATTTTGTGTACTTAAAAAATAACACTGAGAATTTTTTTCGATTTTTTGTTTTTGTTTTTGCTATTGTAAAAGTGGTATCTAGACTGCCTAGTTCAAATTTTAGTTCCTTCCTATATGTTTTCTCACCACAGCTACCTGACAAGGCAGAGGAGGAAGTCTTTCTTCTGTATGAATTTATTTGGTCAGATAGTGTAGGAAATGCTCCTAGAGGATGATTCTCATTTCCATCTCTTTTACTTTTCTCATTTTGCTGTAGACATCCACTGAAGGTTTTTCTTATTGAGTGATTTTGGCAGCCTGGACTGTTTGGGGTGGAGATGGGATTCTAATACTTATTCTAAAATATAAGTCAATTGTAAACCAAATATTAAGGCTGTAGGTGGAGCTCTTCAGGACCCTTTCTATTGTCAGTTGTGTCTGTGATATTGACAGCACTGTGTCTAGTCAGTAAAGCTGACAGAAATCTCAGTTTAATTCAGGTGCTCTGGGGGAAGATTAACTGTAAATGTGAAGAAACAGATTGGTAGTCTAAAAGGTCTCATGAGAAAAGCACTGTTTCTTTTAGCAGAGATTTAGAGATCTGGAGTAGTACAAAACATAACATACGAGTAATATAGTACAAATATTGCAGACTAGTGAGAAAGAGATTCTTGGGCAGGTAATGAGAATAACCTTACTTTAGTACTAAACATATCTCATGTTAAATCTTTTGGCTTTAATAGGACTGCTTCCATAATCTCTTGGGAGTTTGGCATCTTCCCTGGGTATTAACTTTGGGAAGTACATCTTTTTTAATGCATGTTTGGTAGAGACTGTCTTATCTGATAGAATTTCCAAGCCAAATAATCACTCACAGGCACTTATGGATTAGTGCATCTGGAAATGCTCAGGATCAAAGGTGGAGAAAAAGTGGTGTGATAAACTTACAAAGAATCTGAGAAATGGAAAAAGAAAGAAAATACAATAAAGAAATTAGGGATAGCAGAAACAAGATTGCTGGGTATTTATATATGCTTTTAAAAGAGCCTGTATTAAACGTTCTTTTTTTCTTTATAAGTTCACTTTGATAAAACGCTCTTTTTTAAAAGACAGTAAGACTTCTTCAACAAAATATAAAGTAGATTAAGAACTCCCCAAGTATTAAATTACAGGCTGTATTTATTTTAATCAAAGGTGCAGAAAACACATGATCGTGCGAGTTTTTTTACCATCCTAATGAATAAACTTGCACTGATCTTTGTACCCCTTCTCTCTCCATCTCCTCCTTCTGCCTTCCTGGCTTTCCTAAGAAGCACTTGATAACATTTTGGTTAGATGTGGTATGTTCTTTCTTTGTTAGCTGACATTTTTTATTCAAAGGTTCTTTGTCAATGGAACACTTCCAGAATGGTTCCCAGAGATCCCAAACACTTTCTGTGTTCTGTGGTGTTAGATCTGTTTCCATTATATGTGGTAAGAAAGTACTTATAATTTCCCAGAGCTTATCCAAAACTTGTAGAGAACACTATTTAGATTTCATAATCTTCAGGGTATCTGGTAAAGAACTGTTTGCCCTCTCATGAGGGCCCTTCTTTCTTATTCTAGAGACCTGTGCAATGAGGAATCTTTTTTGATGAAATTACTGAGGGTAATGAAAGGCATGTTTTTTAGTAAATCTTGAAGTTTATTTCAGTTCCCATTGAGATCTTTCATATATTTTCTTTCTGTGTGAATTTTAAGGGAAAGAAGTAGACACTAGCTAAGTGGGAAATATTGTGTAAATATAAATTGGGATTAGGTTAATCCTTAACCACTTCAGCTGCTTAAGAGTAAACAGAGGATGGAGTTGCTTTGTTTTTCTCTGTTGGTGGAAAAATACATTGGACCTTAAGGTTATTACGAAGGTTTTGTAGTATTGTTGGCCTAATTTAATTTCCAGTTTTCTGTTAGAAAAGCACATTCATCATTATGTGTGTAGTAATTGTGTTCATTGCTTGCTAATCGTGTTCTTCTGTCCATCGCTTAAGGTAATTTTGTAATACAAGTGCGCCATAAATTTTATTTGTCCCGTGCTATGTCTTTTAGTCAATAATAAGAGTAGTTGTGAATGATTTTACAGTACAAATAAATGTGAGAATATGGGATGAATAGTTCAGAAAAGGTCTTACGTTCTTATTTTTAAATTGAGCCTTTGCACAGATGGCCCAGAAGTAGGAATTATATGTAGCGTCTTGTTTGCTCTTGAGGGAGTTTCCCTGAGTCTTCAAATGTTGCTCTTGAGAGTGAGAATAATGGTATCTGGACCTTACCTCACAAAGAAAGGAGGGATTGTGAATGCCACTTTTCGTCACGCCATTTGCACAAGAACCAGTTTTTCTGTAGAACAGACTTCCTTTTCTAGGCAGTGGAACATGTGCTTTATTAGATTAAGTTCCTCTTCCATGGTAGCCCATTGTGAGAGTATGTTGTTTTGTCAAAGTTTTTACATTTCTTTAATATTTACGTCAACCTTGTGGTGTTGTAGTGACTGGTTTGTAATGAACTTGTGTTACAGATTCATGAATTATGAATATTTTTGAGCAGTGAACTAATTTTCACTCTGTAAATGAAAATAGGAGGTTGAAGAGTCAGCTTAGCATTTTGTGGTGCAAAATGGTATAAATGTAACTGTGTCTGTTGAAAGAAACTCTGTCAGTACTTCATTCCACAGTACTTTTTAAAATTTTTTGTGAATTTAAGTTTCATGGCAGATAGATTTTTTCATACACAGTTGCTATTTCTAAGCTATTTGGATAAAATTTTAGATCCAAAAGTTCTACTGTATTTGTATTTGAGACATTAAAAGAATTCCTTCTTGTGTGATTGTTTTCATCTTGTATGGTTTAATGATCATCCTTTTTGCTGCTTTTTTCATTTTAACTGAAGTGAAATAGTGTTTGTATTAAGGTAGATTTCCTAAACGTTTCTCCTTACGCTGCACTGCAGAGATGCAAATGGGGAAATCACTTTCAGGCCTCTTATTTCATTCTGAACATTCATTGATTTTTGATTTTGTTACGCTGCGTAATAGTCTGGTAGGATTATTGCAAGCCAATAAAAAGTGGCAACATCCTTATTTTGGAGTAAATCTTATATGACATCTTTAATGTTGAGAAAAAGTATTTTTTATGCTCTTTTTGCTTCTGTTTTTCTTGAAGGTCACAAAGACAGAACTTGAGAAACTAAAATCTAGCTATAGACAACTAATAAAAGAAGTAAATTCTGCCAAAGAAAAGTATAAAGAAGCCGTGGCTAAAGGTATGACTGACTTTAATTTATGTGTTTACTGTTGCCTTTTTTCAAATATACTGTAACTTCAGAGTGAAACTAGGTAATGCTTTTATTTTGAACAACTTAATTAAAATGTGAAAACTCATTCAGAATCTTAAGAAAAGCTAGTTGTCATCAAGATAGCTTGTTGATACGCTGAAAATGATGAAAAAAAAAGTGGTAGTCCTTCACGAAAAAAGAAAGATAACTTCTTTAAGCTCTTCAGTTGTTCCTTTAGTGGATGCATTACAATGTAAAATTGCTCTTATGAGCAGTGTTAGTAGTGAAAAATAAGTTGCAGCTCCTCATGTATCTCATAGCTGCAGCCTCCTTGTGTCTTATGACCTATTATGGTTTGCTGAATAGCATTATCAATGCTATTGATAATGCATCATCAATTCTGATGACAGTAGAATAGTTCTAAAAGTTTTCAACATTAAGGAGCAGGAGAAAAAAAAATTAAGAAGTGATGTGTCCAAACTTCATGAATTTAGACTTCCAGTGAATTGTGTTAATGATTAGGACGATGAAAGACTTTGCTATAAGATATTTTGAAATACCTTGTTAATAATTGATCTCACTTGCCTAAGATTCTTTTTCTTTAAATAAAATTAATTGCATGATGGTGCATAAATATAATTCCATCTGCAGTGTTTTTATGTCATTCTGATTAACTGAACTAATACTTGGTTAGCCATATAACAACCAAAAGCTGTTTTCGAGACACTTACATCTCGCTGTGTATTTTCCTGTTTCCATTTAGTATTTGGCTTCCACTAATACAGTTCATGGTTGATTTAACTTTCCCTACTGTTTTACTGTATTAACAGCCTCTGACCATCAGAAAAACTGTTTTTCCCCCCAAAGAATTTCAATATTATTTTGCTACTACTGCTTCTGTATTACCTGTATGCAGCTAATATGGTTGCGTATTTGCTGGTCAGCTGAGCTGTTTGAGTATTGTTAAGCCATGGTATTTTCAAGGTGTTTCTGAGCCCTCAGGTGGTCAAAGTAGTTAGCAAGGTGTAGTTAGGGAATTCTTAAAATTATAGTACTTCTTTGTTCCAGGCATTAGTTGAGTAGCAGCTACTTACTAAGTGATGTGCTATTAGGAGATACTCTTTTGTTAACATGAAAACTGGTTTGGTTTTTGAGTCTCAAGGAATGATTGAAAGCAAGAGAAGGAACATTGCATACCATAGCAATGGGAGGGCTGAATATTGGAAATAAGCTGAAAAATATTTAGTTAAACAGAAAAATGAAAATTGTTGTGACTAACTCTCAGAAGAAACATGAGCCAGTTCATTTCTCCTTTTATAAAATGTGATTCTTGACAGACTCTGTTCCTCTGGCAAACCAATTCTTCATTACAGTGACTGACCCCTCCTGTCGAGAGCAGAAGAAAACAACTACTCTGCAGGAAATGTGATTTAGTCCTTGCTCCTGGGCTGGAGCTGGATTACTTCTAAGTCTGCACAGTACACATGCAAGTTAGTCAGCATAAAAGCAAGTCATAACAAAGGAATAACTTACAAATTTCTGTTTTGCAATTGTAATCATTTTGCAATTTGGTGACTGTACTGTTTATAACAGTACTTACAGTATTTTTACTAAGAAAATACCTTTACTGAAACAACTACTGAAAGAGGTACATGTGTTTCTCTACCTAGGGAAGACAGTTCCTTTCCTATTTTCTGTTTGAGTTGTTAAAAGCATACTTAGATTTTAAACTAAACACTTAGAGTATTTAAGTGAGAAATCGAAAGTCTGGCAAAATTAGGGATTATTGATAATAATCTTTAGAAGAAGCTGATTTTAAAAATTTTTTGGCTCAGGTAAAACTTGGCTAACGTGTGTCATACTTTACACCAGCTAACAGGACAGTCACTTAGAATCAGCATGTTGATACTTTAGAGAGTTACAGCTGCTTTCTTTTCTAACTGAAAATACAAAGAGAATCTGTGTAATACCAACTGAACCACTCAGTTTAGTGCTGTCTGCAGACCTGCAGAGGTCCCACTGTGTATGTTGGTGATGAGGATGCTGGAGAACACTGGTCCCAGGACAGACATCTGGGAGACACCATTCAGGACCAGCTTCCACCTGAACATAGATCTGTTGACCACAGCTCTCTGGCTTTGACCATCCAACCAATTTTTTTCCACCGACTAGTCCAGATTTCAAATCCATATCTTTCCAATTTAGAGATAGGATGTGGTATGGGATCATGTCAAAATTAGATGACACTTGGTCACTCTTCCCTTTCCAATTGATGCTGTCATTCAATCTTAGAAGGTCACCAGATTGCTTAGGCACAATTTGCTGTCAGTGAAGCTATGCTGACTGTCTTGGATCACCTCCCTGCCTTGCATGTGCCTTAACAGAGCTTCCAGGAGGATCTGTTCTATGATCTTCCCAGGCACAGAGGTGAGGATCAATGGCCTGTAGTTTCCTTTCTACCATTCTTAAAAATGGGAGTGATGTTTTCATTAGTAACATGATTTGCTGTTCTTTTGTGGACCAGTGATTACCGTGGGTATCACAAATGTAGCTTGGCTGGTTATGCTTGGGTGTGGAGATCTCTGTGTCAGGCAGTATGGTTGGTGCTAATCATTTGATTGATGAGCAGTTCTTGTCCTTTACTGTCCTTACTTCTGTCTATGATTTTATGGGTCATGAGAGAAAAGCAAGTTGGGAAGGGTAAAGTCAGCAAACTGGACTGGTCCAGTGCTTCTCTGATGATATATACTTAGCAGATGAGAATCTGCACAGATTCTTTCTAATAATCTCTTCTGGTTTTAAAACATTTGAGTTGGAACATTTTGTAATAATGTGCTTGGAATGCACAGTGTGTTCATCTGCAGAATTGAGCAAGAAGGGCATGTTGGGATCACTTGGAGAAAAGCTTGAGAAGTACTGGGTTATCTTAATATAATGAAATAGACAACCCTTTGTAATCTTTGGTATGTGTGCTATACATAAAAAGATGTGTCACCTTCTTACAGCAGTGGCCCATAATGACAGTCACATATTATACGTACAACTCTAAACCTACAGTGATATTCTAACACCAGTGATGCTGAGTAACAAAGTAAATAAATACAGTGCAGCATGTTGACTTAGCTGCTGCAGGAAAATGCATCAAAACAAAATTAATGCCAGATAAAAAGACATTGTTTTTCCCAACAAGAGTCACAAAGTTCTAAAAAGTTTCATAAATAATGAGTAAAGAACACAAGCTGGAAACCGTAGAACAATTGTTGACATTTCTCACTACAATCTGAATCTCAGTTTTCCTACGTTTAAAAAAAAAAAAACAACTAAATAGAAGGAAAGCATCAATTCTTAGACTAGCATTTATTTTTACAGCTGATTTTGGTATTTGGTGGTAGAACGTGAAATGATTTTGTATCAGGTAATCTTTACAAGCTGAAATACTGCCAATATTGCTGTGGTAGGTTCATATTGGATTTTAGTACAATATCATCTTTACACAGCAACATTTATATTTTACTGGAAATACATTTTGTACAGATGTTTACTGCATTCTTGTTGCTAGTTAATTACTGACTGAATGTGGAAAGTATTATAGCATTTTTAAGTAACAGAATGGATCTGAAATAAACAGTAAAGGAAAAATATATTGATTCAGTATATTATTTCATTATTTCATTTTGTGCTGCTCCAGTATAATGGAATAACACATATGAGATTTCCCTACACTGGCTTATGTTCCCTGACGATGTTGTAATTTAAGGGAGACTGGAAACCTAGCACATGACAGAGCATTGCATCTGTTGGAAGAATGCTTTCTGAAACCTACAACTCTTGTGATATGATTCTTCAGATTTCATTTGTCTTTTGTGTTATATATTGAATGCTCGCAAATAAGACAGCTGTTGAAAAAGCTTTCATTCAAATTGTTGTCCTGCTACTCTTTCTGCTATCTGAGTGGCCAGGAAATATTTTTATTAGATGGCTGGTGCATTAATTCTGTCTGTAAAATAGTGATTATACTACTGCATTTTCTGGTGGCATGTGTTGCCTTTAGGGTATGCTGAAATGAGAAAAACTCGAGTTTATTTTTGACTGAATCTAACATTGTAAGATGAAACAAATGCTGTTTGTTGAACCAGTCTGTCTTATTCACAGATGTCAGTAGTCTGGGATGGATTTCAAATCAATCATAAAATTGTTTGAGTTGAAAGGAACACCCAGCGGCCATCTAGTCCAAGTCACCTGCAATGAACAGGACACCTAGAGCCAGATCAGGTTGCTCACAACCCCATCCAGCCTGACTTTGAATATCTCCAAGGATGGGATATCCACTGACTCTGTGCAGCCTGTTCCAGTGCCTTACCACCTTTGTTGTAAACTGATCTTCTTTATATCCAGTATACATCTCTCTTCCTTTAGTTTGAAACCATTTCCCCTTGTCCTGTCTCAGCAGATCCTGCTAAAGAGTCTGTTCCCTTCTTTCTTACAGTCTCCTCTTTTAAGATACTGAAATACTCTTAGGTCTCTCTGGAGCCTTTTGTCTCTCAGCATGTTCTGGCAGGGGAGGTGTTCCACTGGATCATTTCTGTGGCCCTCCTCTAGACATGCTTCAACAGATCTGTGTCTCCTGTGCTGAGGATTCCACATCTGGATGCAGTTCTCCAGTTCAGGCCTCACCAGCACAGAGTAAATGGGCAGCATCACCTCCCTCTCCCTGCTGGCTACACTTCTTTTGATGCAGCCAAGCATAAAGTTGGATTTCTGGGCTGTGAGGGCACATTGCTGACTCACGTCTGGTTTGCCATCCACCATCCAGTATGCCTGTGTCCTTTTTGGCAGGTCTGTGCTCTTTTTGGCCTACAGCTTGCATTGGTAGTGGGCGTGAGTACACTGTTGTAGTTCATAGGCACTACAGCAGTGCTTGCAGAATGCCAGGGCTTTTTCTTGTGTGTGAAATAAAACTTCTAGAGAAGGAAACTCTTTGGTGTTAT